AAGATCGGCTTGTTATTTATAATTCTTTGGCTGTTAAACTGAGAAGAGAAATAGGACAATACCTGAAATACAAATGTATATGGAAAATTCTTCGGAAAGTATTTTGCAGCGCCAACATCAAGTAGTTTACACAGATGCTGGTTTTCAGCAGTCAGCTGGAATGACACGCGTAGCTGAAGTTCCTGAAGTTCCAGCCATCAAACACATACACTCAAGAGATTTAGCTACAAGAATGCACCATCCAGATCAGACTTGTATGTGCAAAGATGGTACTTTAGTGACAGGCACTTGTCATGTTGTCGAATAGATTTTTATGCTCCTAGAGCAGACTTGATGGAGACAAGTCACAATCTTACACACCAACACATGAATTTTGAAAAAAAAAGAATTCATGCAAGGTGTTATAAGGTGCATAGCTACATACCACAAGGCCATGGAAGAATTTATCAAGCATACCAACTCTGAAAAATTAATACAACAAGATTAGTTGAGACTCAACATTAGCTTATTAATTATTTGAATTAATGTTGTAGGGATGAGTTTCAAGTTTGGATTAGGTTATTTACACATCTTTTCAATCTGAAGGAATAATTGTTGTTCTCGCTATGGTTTGTTTGGATATGAAAGAAACTAAACCAAGTTGGTATAGTGTCTTTAATATGGTTTTTGCGCGGGTAAACCGGATTGAACTTATTTCAGTCCTCCTCTCTGTTTCAATCTGGGTGTTATATATTAGTCTTTGTCGTGGGCTATAGTAACGCTAACGCGATTTAGCTTGTCTAAGGTCTTGTTCTGTTAGTGTGGATGCATATGCTTAGGAAGTTGGCACACAAAGAGACACTACAGTTTGTAATTTAGTTAAAAGTTCTGTTTTGTTGTATGGTGAAATAATGTATAAATTATCTGAATAAATGGTTTTGTTGGTGGTTTTGTGATGTGAAGCAAACGACCTTAACTTTACACACAAGTAAAGCAAATCAAAACAGACATATTACTCCATGTAAACAGTTGCGTTTTCTTTACACACAAGTGATGAGTATGTGCATCAGTCTGAGTCTTCCTCAAATAAAACAAGTAAGGAGTCACTCTTGTTCTTATGTTCTCTTCTTCTTCTCTTGCTTCATTAGCTGCACCGATTCCTCTTCGGCTGTTGCTCCAGCCTAATCGCTGCTGATATATTGAGTCGTAAGCCTCCACAAAACGGTGTGTTCTCGCCATTAAGAAGGGACGAGCTGCCTCTGCGATGGCCGATTTGAATTGTTCTTGGTTTGTCTCTGCGCTTCTTGCTTCTTGTTTATGTCTCTGTTCCCTTCTGAATGAGAGAAGATTAATGATTGAATCATATACATCTTAAAACGCGCATAAAAGATGTTTGCATGTTTGAAAACTTCTACTTTGATCAACAAAACCTTAGCCAATCAAAGAGTAACTGGATCAAAGAATTATAGGTCTTGAGTTTGCCTCGAGAGTTTTACCTTTTACAGAAGGAATCCATGACTCCAACCAAATGATGCAGAACAATATTTAACATATCTTCCTCCTACAGAAAGAGGAAGAAGAAATAAAGCAGACAAAATTTGGTTGTTCAGAAGAACTGGACAAGAAGATAACAGCACAAAGAAAGAGAGATCTGTAAAAGGGATTGCAAGCGTACCTGCATCAGAGCTTGAAGCTCCCTTATCAACCGATTTGGCTGGAGTATCTTTTTCATTTTTCCAAAGCCGTTGAACGTCAAACACGTCAGCAAAGAAACCTGGTTTAAGGCCACAAAAAGATGAAGAGGTAAACTTTAAATTTCTTTGTGGACTGATTATAAAACACATTTTACTCTACTGATAAGGGTGTTATATCAGTTTCATTCAAAAGTAAATGAAGCAACATTATCATGATCTATCGTAAATTATCAATTATAACTTTAAACGAGAGATTGTTAGTTTGTTACCGTGAGAAGGTCATGTCAATTAAATTTTTGAGATAGGTCGCTTTCCAACTCCTTGCCATCTAAGATTGTCTCTGTTCTCTCATTCTAGTCCAAATTAGTTTCCTGTAGAAAATGCTGACACATAACAAATTCTTTCAGTCATAATTTAGCATGTTTATGATCAATCAATCACATTAACACTGAGTTTCTGAATTTCAAAAAAAAGGTAGAGAGAGGAATATTTAGAAGGTGAAAAAGATATTCAAGAAAGAAAACAATCTTGGGAGTTACTAACCACCATACACCTTTCATTTCAAGTAGATACAGCTATTATTACATCCATCTCTCACCTAGTTTGCTCCACGAGTGTAGAAGACAGTCTCGTACACATTGCAGAAGTGGGTCCAATTTCACATGTATCTCCTGCAACAGTCTCTATTGAGAGTCAAGTTACTACCGAACCTTGTATGTACTTAAATAACCTGTTCCAACTGGTACATATAAGCCTATCCCTAGCAGACGCATAACTTTTACCAATATATGAAATTACCAAACCAAAGGCAGCCTGAAAGAGACAGAGATTCGAGTAAAAACCTGCACACGAGCTTTGAAAATGTAAATCCAACAAAAAGAAGCCATTAGTAGAATGAAATCTCTCTGGCAAATCTAGCAAAAATCAAAAGACTCTGTAACACAGTACAGAACATGTTGGCTACACTAAGAAAGAGAGCAAAGAAAAAGAAAATCTACTCATAGGTGTGAAATGTTCCCCAAACGCAGAGGAACCACAGATATTGGCAAAGCATAACATGTTCACAGTGACGCATAAACATCTAATCAGTATCACTCATATGGTCTCACTCCCAACACTACACATGCCATTGTTCTGCCATCAATTAATCTATTTCAAAGCTCGAAATAACAACCGACAGAAGTTACGTAAAATCTATACAAATTTAAAGCAAGGAGACTATATTCATCCGCAAGTTCGTTGTTTCAAACAATGTAGATATAGGCATATAGCTCACAGATGATCTCAGATCCTTTGGTAATAAAGTCATATTCAGGTAACAGTAGCATCAGTGTGAAAGGTTTAGGCTTTCGTTTTCTTCTGATCAAACATTTTCATGGAGTAGCAAGATCTCTCATTATTCACATTCAGGATTATATAACGCAAGATTTCATACGAGAGCCAGCAGTGAAACAAAAGGGACAAACTTTGATTTCATGAACATAGAATTATTGTTCTCAATGTAATCGAACCAATTTTCAATTTTTGGATTTCACATGTCACAAAAATTACAGTAAGAATATGAATCAACATTTGATACCAAACTGATGAAACAACATTTTAGATACTTTTTTTTTTGTTTTACCTCCAAAAAAAGATCTGTTCGAAATCGAATGTCAGAAACCGAAGAGCAAAGAGAGCTTCGAGAATGCCCAAGCAAGCACCAGCAGCTACGTCGAGCACGTAATGTCTCCCTAAGAGGATCCTTGAAACGGCGGTCACTGTTGCCCAGATCCACACACCCACCACAACATTTCCCTTCACATCGCCATCACGGTGATCTCTGATCCATCCGTCTAAGAAAGTGTAGCTTGGATCGGCCATGGGAGCTTCTACGACAGAAGTAAAGAAATGAACTGATGCGGCAACGAAGAAGACGCGGGAGGCGTGGCCGGAGGGAAAGGAATAGTGATCAGCGGATACGGCGGCGGACATTGATGGATGATTGTAAGCGGGACGAGCTCGACGGAAGGTTAGCTTCACGATTCCGACGAAGATTAGATCGAGGAGGAGGCCGAGGAGGAACGGGATGAGGAAAGGTCGTAACGGAGGGGAGAGGAGAAGGGAAAGGGACACGGGGAAGGAGAATCGGAAATCGGCGGAGATCTCGAGGAGTAGGAGGAGAAACGGTGGGAGTAGTGGCTTCGCCGCCGTGTGAATCGCGCGAGACACGGCGGCGTCCACCGACAAGATGGGACCGATGAGAAACGTCGATTTCGCCGGAGACATAATTGTCAACGTATCACGCAATGCGAAAACGACGACGTTGATAAGTAATCCACGATTTTTTAACACAAAAAAATAAGAACACAATTATATAAGGAGAAAACGACGTCGCTTCGTTAACAAGAGACTAAATTATCTTGCGCCTTTTTGTGTATCTAGCCCATATACCCACTACCGTGACAACCAAGTAATAGATCGAGTTGAATGAAGATGTTTGTGATTAATGAATACTGAAAACTAGGACTTGTTACAATTTCAATGAATCTCTAGCATTAGCATGCATGTGTTTCATATATGCAAAGTGACCTTAAACCAACAATATTAATGTTATTGCCTAAAAAGTTTTGAAGATGAATTTTGTTTTCTTGTTTTTTCTCTCCCTCCCTTTTTACAGTATTTCGTAGATATATACAACATACCAAGAATTTTTCCTACTTATTCCCTTACCTTATTGCTTCACTACAGTAAATCTGAATCACTTTAATGCTTTTTTTTGAACAACTTATCACTTTAATGCTATGTTTTGTTAATCTCTTGTTGGGAATTCGTACCTGATTGCGATATGTACAACATTCTATGGTAGTACTTACATTCACACATTGTTATAACGAAAATACTGTTTGCGATTCGCGTTATTTGTGCTAAATCATAGCCTTTCTATTTAAGGCAATGACTGCAAATATGCTCTTAGCTTGGAGCAGTGGAGGAACATTTACTCTGTACACTAATATATTCGAAATCCACTAAGTAACGGACCACATATGCACACAATTCAATACGCTTTTCACCAAATTATTTTGCAACTTTAGAACTAAAAATAAAATAAATTATTCTTTTTAAGCCAAATAAATGGAACTTTATTAATATCCATCATTTCATTATTTTTTCTCTTCATTACACAAATAAGATCTGAATACAAGCATGAGCTCAAGAAATGTAACACAATTAAAATAACAAGTACGTAAGGTAGACCTTTTAATCATTACACAAGTAAGATCTGAAACATAAAGAAGAGAAACAAGCATGGATGATGAGTCTCGATTCTCGATTCTCCAAGTTCCGCTAATAACGTAACGTAACCGGATACTTGTCAACACAAGCTTCCCAAGGATTGTTCTTGGAAGGCTTCACATTCCTCAACGCTTCCCAAACGGCGCTGTTGCATTTAAATCCACTCCCAAACGCAATTTGCCAAACGCGATCGCCTCTTCGCATCCTTCCTTTGGCCTCAATGTAAGCTAACTCATACCAAGTCGAGCTCGAAGACGTGTTCCCAAACCTATGAAGAGTCATCCTCGCAGGCTCCGCATGAACCGGAGAAAGCTGGAGACCCTTCTCTATCTCATCGATCACAGCTCTTCCACCAGCATGGATACAGAAATGCTCGAAAGCAAGTTTGGATCCGGAATATACGGTTTAACCTTACCGTTGAAAAGCTTCTTCGCAAGTAGAGTCGTAAAGTAGAGAATCTGCTCACTTACCGGAAGAACAAGAGGACCCAACGTAGTGAAATTGGTTTTGAGAGTTTCCCCTGCAATCGCCATTAGATCTTTCGACAAGAAAACCCCCTTTTTCCCGGTGTCATCCTCTCCTGTTGATAAGCGCAACGAAAGCTTTGTCGTCTGCTCCACGGTGAGTCCTGACGACATGCACGAGCCTGTACTTAGCCCGTCTCTTGTCCCTAGACTTGTTCGACAGCAAAACCGCAGCGCCACCGACTCGAAACAAGCAGTTCGGTACCAACATGGACTTGTTGTTACCGAAATACCCGTTGAGAGTAGTGTTCTCTGCCGAGACAACAACTGCGTACGTGTTCCTATGTAGCAACAGCATGTCTTTAGCAAGATCCACCCCGATAACTCCGGCGCTGCAACCCATTCCGCCGAGGTTGAATGTCCTGATGTTACTTCTGTAAGCTTATACTTGTTCACAATCATCGCGGATAACGAAGGCGTCGGGCAAAAGATACTACAGTTCACAACGAGGATCCCAACATCCTTGGGATCCACGTTTGTGTTTGCGAAAAGGTTGTCTAAAGCACCGAACATGACTTGTTCAGCTTCTTCTCTAGCAGCAGCCATTGAGATTCTGGTGGAACACAATCATAGCTTCAGGGAGATACGTCTCTTCTCCTAAACCAGAGCGTTCGAGGATCATGCGTTGAAACTCGAGAGCAGAGTCGTCGAAACATCCGACGAGTCTAGACTGTGCCATGAATGCAGTGGAAGGACATTTGAGGTGATCAGGTGGGAGGTAACACGAGAAATCCACCATGTAAACCGGTCTGGGTCGGGTCATGACATAGACGGTTAAACCGGAGACTAGAACCGCCGAACAGATGGTTATACTAACCACATTGTACTGGACATGGTCCAGAGTTGGCGGAGATCGTTTTGATTCATCTGAGATGCTTCCACGGAGATAACGACGGCGAGAGGAGTAAACACAAAGTCAAGAGATTCGAGACTAGTAATGGTAACCTAACTTGAGATACACGCTTAGGGTTTGTCGGTTCTGTACTCCAACAGAACCATCACCACCACCACCACCACCGCCGATTCGTGATTCTCTGGCACCGTCCATGTTGGCCAAGGACAGAGATTTAACTTATAGAATAAGGTATAGAGATCGAATGCTGTGATTATCCAATCCAGGCGTCCTTTTTTTATTCTTGAGCTGCTGAAAGGGACCGTGAAGGACACGACTTTGACGATGACCCACCAACCATCCCGGGATCTGAAATACATTTATTTGAGGGCTGCCCACTTTCAGCGCCACTCACCACACCACACCACAGACAGTGGCTGTGGCTGTGGCTTTGCCAGAAGTAAGTTAATTATATTGATGCATTTATTTGACGGCTCCCGCCCACTCAGCCCCACAGGCGGAGCCATAGTAATAAATTTTCTTGGGTCAATTTTTTATATTAAATTTAAAACTATTATGTGATCGATATATACTACCCGAAAAAAAAACGTGTTTACCCCTAAATTAATCTTTTTCAAAACTCGAAACAACCGACAGAAGGTACATAGAGAGAAGAAGAATGTAAAATCTGTACAAACTAAAGCAAGGAGACAATGTAGATATATCTCGAAAGATGATCTCAGATCCTTGGTAAAAAGTCATATTCAGGTAACAGACCAGTAGCATCGATGTGAAAGGTTTAGCCTTTCGTGTTAGCGTTTTTTTCTGATCAAGAGCATTTTCATGGAGTAGCAAGATCTCTCATTATTCACATTAAGAATTCATACAAGAGCCTCTAGCGAAACAAAAGGGACAGGCTCTGATCCATGAACATAGAATTCTTGTTCTCCACGTAATCGAAACAACTTAAACTTTTTAATTTAAACTTTAATATTTTTTTTATTTAATTTAAAACTATAATCCATCTATGCTACAAAAAAAAAAAACTAGTTTACATCAGATAATTTGTATATTTGTATTAATTATAACTGATGCAAATTAATTTTACATCACTTGAATGACCAAAAGTGATGGTGCAAATAATCAACATCGGTTTACAGAATAAATGATGTTAATGTATGTATATATCACTTGTAAAAATGATGTTAATATGTAAATCAACTAATTTAGTATTGGGTTTCGGTTTATTTTAAATCAACACAATAACACCCCTTGTGTTACTCCAGGAGTTGACACATCTTTCTTAAGCAGGGAAAATGTGACACATCATTTAAAAGGTTTAGCCAATCAAAACATTTTAAATAATACCAGTCATCAAAATCTCGGTTTACTTGCCAGGTTTTCACCCGGTTTTTCTTTATTGATTTTCTTGGACCGATCGGTTACGTTCACTCGACCGGATACAACTCCGTTTCTTCTCCGACGCCGCCCAATATCACCCTTCCTTCTCCGACGGTTTTCCACAGGCTGAGGAATGATCTCGCCATCGAATCAATGGCTGTCAAGGAGCCTTCTTCAACCCCTTCACTTGCCTCTGTGATTTGCCGGTCGCTTGCGTACTCGAATACGCTCTCAGGCTACAACGTGCAAGTGTTCCTTGAATCCGGCGTTGTTCATGAAATCACTTGAAACTTCGAAATGAACCTTCGCCACCTCCTCAAGCAGGTTCCCATTCTCAATCACTGTCTATATAGCTCTCTTTCTCTCTCTCTCTCTCTTTGCTTATGTATCTAGGTGTGTGCATATGTATGTCCATAAACCACCTCATCAAAGCTAAAAGAAAATATTGTGGAAAGACTGGTTCAGATGCTGGACGAATCTAATTGGCTAGCTGGAGATGAATAACAGGAATTAGAGGATGTGGTTTCACATGTATTTTCATTTGTTGCTCTTCTTCTACTGATTTTTTTTTCTGGATGATTCTCCAGACCTTGAATCTCGAGTGCTTCGTTCGGCAGATGAGGGGAATGTGACGGTGCCGAATTCAAAATCAGCGACGATGCGTCTGGCGGAAGGAGAGAAGACGCGTAATCAGAAAAAGAAGAAGACCCAGAAACCAAAGATTGCCGGAGTTCCTTCAAAACAGGTAGTAACACACATAGTCAATCATCTCCTGCAATGTTAGATGGAATCCCATCTTTTGAATTGGACATCAATCGAAAAGCAGGTTGTAGGGGAGAAAGCAGTAATGGATGCAGAGCTTTTTGTCTCGTCAATATAATGGATGCGTTGAGGTAAGAACTTGACCAAGCCAAACAAGAAACAACCGGTTTGATCTCTCTAAGCTCTCAACACCTCACACTGATGATGATTTCTCTTTTGTTCTCATTCTTTTAATGTTGTTGCTTCTTTGTTTCCGATTTGAACAAGAAGTAATTGGGGAAATTTACTGTTTCTGCTTGGAAATGAAATTGACACTTAATCAAACTAAGAGATGTGAGAAGCGGAATCAAAGATATTTTCTTTCTTTTAGAGAATGTGATTTTAGTATGTGTGGGGAATGTAGATATAGAATTGTAGTTGGAATTTTTGGAATATTGGTCGCGAGATGTTTCACCTTGGATCATGTGGGTCTTATGGAAAAACAGAAATGTAATGCTCTTTGAAGGGAAGTCGTTTCCTCCTAATGAAGTTGTTGGCAAAGCTCTTAATGATGCAAGGCAGTGGTTTAACGTTCAAAGGAAGCTAGAGGCTGAACCAAACCGAAAAACAGAGACGATATATCAGTGGAGACCTCCGGATGAAGGAAGAGTGACAATATAGGTTTCTCATGGTCCAAGGCAAAGGCCACCTCGGGAGCATCTTGGGTGTTGCGTGATGCATCAGGCAATGTGCTTTGTCATAGCAGAAGAGGGCTTCTCCCCTGTTACCTCATGTTTCGATGCTAAGGTGAATTGTTGGGAATGGGCACTTCAAAGCATGCGAGATTTGAGATATCAGAATGTCACTTTTGCAGGATCAACCTTGGAAATCACTAAAGCTATGTTTGAACCACTGCAATGGTCGGCCTTAATGGGACATGTTGCAGGTTTATTGAGCTTTACAACGAATAAGATAGGTTGGGACATCAGCTATGAGGAGCCGAGTTCTAACACTGGTGACTTATTGGGGGACAGATTGAGTTCTTACGTAGCTCGTGGAGTACAAGTAAGTCTGTGAAGGTGATATGCTGACGACAGAGCTCTGCAGTTCTCTTATTAGTCTTTATACTTCTGTTTTTTATTTCGTTTTCGGGTGTGTCACACAGTTACCGAACTTTGGTGTTCCCTTTGCTCTTTGTGAGCTTTAAATTCAACTTAAATTCAGAGAAAACAAAAATAAGGGAAATAAAGCCGTGTAAGAGGAATATAAGTTAGACTAACTCTGGATTAATTTTGTAAATTGAATAGTTCGTCTGTGTGAACGAAAAAACTGTGGAAAGATTTGAAGTGTTTAGCAGTTCTGAAAAGGAGCACATTTTAAAGGCAAATAGTAAGAAAAAGAAAATGGTAAAACATGAACTTATTATAGGCTTGGTCAAATTTCCTATGGGCAATGATAACGATATTCGATATTTATCAAAACGAGTTATAAAAAAAACAATAAAATTAGATTTGAGATTTTGACATATGGTTTCTTCGGACACTTTTGAATAGAACTCTTTGAAGTATGATGGAGTTCAATTTTGAAAACAACCTATAGAAAAGAATGGCTAAAAAGGAGCTATTTATTTAAGGCACTACAAAACTGGTTCCAAGTAGAAAAAACAAAGGGTAGAGAAAGAAAGATTGAAAGAGAGCAAAGAACAATTTTTTCAAAGATATAAAGAGTAGAACATGAGAAATGAGACGTAATTTTTGTTTCTAAAAAATTAATTAAATATGTTATCATAAATTTATATATATAAAATATTTTAAAATATTAATAATTTGTTTATAATTCTGAAATTTATGAACAATTTTAACATCAAATCCCGCTGCGTAGCGCGGGTCAATTTCTAGTGATATCAAATATCTTCATCACTTGTTACAATAAAAGTGACAGTTAATTGATTTTCTACATATAGGAAGAAAATGGTGGATACATTCATCCCAAATTTCGGTTACAACTTACAACAATAAAAAATCTTGAGAAGTTTTTATTATACATGATCAGATATAAGAAGTCTTCGTTTGCAAAAAGAATCATGAATCAACAACGTAACACTTGATAACCAAAAGAAAAGTATACTTGTATGAACTAAAAAGATATTGATAGAAGTATTTGGCCTCTTGTTGAACTCCATCGTGAGAATGATCTCTTGTTTTTTTTCTTTCTTGGCCTGTCCTTTCCATTGGCAGAAGAAAGGTTGTAAGTTGATGCGTGATAAGAGAACCCATGAATGTTTGAAATATCTGAAATTTTTTAGTGTTGAGGTACCTTTACTATCCCAATCTGTCATCTGTGTAGGCATGGCTCTTAATTCCCAATATCATCATCATCTTATTTCTAGGTCACCATTCATGGCAGCTTTTGGAAGATTTGAAGAATATTGAAATCAAAATTACAAAGGAGAAAATTAAGATACGCTTCAGAAACATAGAAAAAAAAAGAGATATTTGCAGGTTTTGAATGTTTTCACAGGAGATTATTCTAAATTTTTTTTTAAAGATATTATGACATTAAGAAAAATAGTCAGCGAGTAATAAGGAGGATTCTGCATAAAAAAAAAAGGAAAATCTAAAAATCTGATTTGTTAGTTTTTAAAAAATGTGGGGATCTGAATATAAAATATTTTTGAGAAATCTGGATTTCAATTCCTAGAAGATGCGATTTATGCAGGTTATTGAAGGAAGGTTCGCATAAAGAAGGCAATAGCAGATAAAGAAAATTTCCAGCCATTAGATTCATATAAAAATAGATCTTGGTATAATAGTTAATTATCCGTTAATAATTGTCTTTGTAATTATCAATCTTAGACGTTATTAAAAAAATTATATATATATATTTAGATAAATTATGATTTGATCGCAGTTATAGTTTTTAGTTGAATTTGGTAGAATAGACATAGAAAACATAGACAGGTTTTAGAAATACCTTAAATAATTTAATTTGGATGTCAGCAACCCTTTTTTATTCTGTTTTTGGGAATCCAACTCAAATAATTTATTTCAAAATCTAGATTTTAAAAATGTGGC